GAATCTTCCTCTTTGTTCCCGACTTTTGCATTCCAGTCACCCATTATTATCAATGCATCTTGGTTGCATGTTCGATCAATCTCCGATTGCAAAAGGAATATATGATTCCTTTATATGGCATTGTATATATGATAGCAGGCATATGTATGACAACAATCTGAAAGAAGGGGTCCATTGTAGGAGGTCTTGGGGAAGGGGGATGGGAGGGGGAAGAAAATATCCAACACTGAAAAAAAATTAAAATGAAACATTTTAGATGTTTACAAAAATAAAGGAGAGGGGAGGGAACAAAAAATCTACTACTGCTTTGCTCTAACTAAAAAGGAAATCTTCAGAGCAAAAGTATAACGTATGAAATCATTCATGCCCACTAAATGTCCATTAGAGATTTTTCTGGTTTCTTTTACATGCACCTGGGTTTTTACTATTCTAGTTTGCCCTCTTTCTTCAGATTTATGATCATCCTGAATCGATGTTTCCCTGTCTTCATGGTGCTGGCCTGGATCTACTCTGTCTCCATGACTGTAAAGAGCATCGTCTTGGAGAAGGAATTGAGGCTGAAGGAGACTTTGAAAAATCAAGGTGTCTCCAATACAGTCATTTGGTGTACTTGGTTCTTAGACAGCTTCTCTATCATGTCAATGAGCATCTTCCTCCTGACAATATTCATCATGGTAAGTGAGTGAGATAGAGAAGACCCTAGAAAACCCTGCATAGCTTTATCCTCTTCACATTCCATATGATTAATTATCTGACTACTGTGTAACATCATAGCTGTCTGCATTTTTTTAGCTAAACAGAAAACATTCATAGACACAAAAACTCTCAAGGAATTACTTTATCATAAAACTCTAATCCCTTCTACATAATGTTTATCATTCCTTGAATTCTGAAGAAGCTGAATCACCAGAGGCTGGTTCTATGTTCAGAGGAATTCTGGCTTTCCAAATACAGAAGTAATGGGTAAAAGGAGTGTTTATATGAGATTTCTGTCCCAATACTCAACAAAGTTAGAATGTAGAGTGATCCTTCTCAGTAATAGCATTATCATCGCCACATAATCCATGGCTTCCACCAAGAATATTCTCTTGCCTTCGAAATCTCCAGAACTCCTTTTTTTAAAAGGCTAGAATTTAGCATCCATCCTTTTACAGTGATACTAAGTTTTTATGGCTACAGACAGCATGTGTGAGTTCATGCTCTATAAACATGCACCTCCTTGGAAATACAACTTGGTTTCACAAATACACTACAATCCCATATTTTTAGCTTTTTCACAGTAGATAATTTATTGTGTCTGTCGACTCATGTTATTGTTGTTGTTCAGTGATGGAAACATTGCCTTGTGCCGTATTGCTCTTACTATCTCTATTGCTCGTACTATCTCTGCTATACTCAAGCTCATTGTTGTGGTCGCTTTTACTGTCTTGTTGTGAATCTCCCTCTCTTGGATGTGAGGACAATCTGGCTGTGACATCTGTCACCCCGTTGATCTCCAGGGTTGATTCAGCTGTTCTGGCTGGCTAAAGAGGGTGTCCCCTTCCTCCCTCACCAATCCATGTGCGTCCCTCCTGAAGCTGCATGCTTGGTTGACGAGGACCACCATCTCCAATGGGAGAATCTTTCTCTCTTTGGTGACTCTATTTTTCCTAGCATGAGGTATTTTTCCAAGGACTAGACCCTCCTGACAACGTACCCAGAGTGTGTGCAACAAAGCTTCACCATCCTTGCCTCCAGGGAGCACCATGATTACACTTCCTCCAGACAGATATGTTAGTCCTTTTGCAAGTTCACAGTGTATTCAACATTCTTCACCAACAGCACAACTCAAAAGCACTGATTCTTCTTCAGTCTTCCTTATTTATTGTCAAACTTTCATATGCAGATGAAGTAATAGAAAACACATCATAGCTTGAGTTGAATGATAAGGACATACATTTAAATAGATTTTGAAATATTTTTTTTGGTACAATTTACTTAACAAGCTCCTGATACCATCTCATCAGGTTTCTTATTTTTCTTTTTTAATTATCTTAAGTAGCCCTCTTTGCTGATTAAAATGCATGATGATCCATAAAACTCTAATTAATGCTTCCCATCCCACCCTGGACCACACTTAGTGCTGACATGATCTAGGAATTTTATAATACGTATTTGTCTAACAAATACCCATTTATTTGTAGCAGAATGACCAAGTCTGAAGGGGCTTGTTTATTAGTGTTGCAGTGAGTTTTGACCTTAGCCAAACTTTGTGCTAAGGCCCTTTTACAATCAGTGCTAATGGTCCCTCTACTTAAGCAATCTTATTCTTACCTGAATAATGGCACTGGAGCCATTATGAGGGGAGAAGCTGAGTTCCTTGTCTTCCTCTAGGGGTCATGGGTTCCTTTCCATCCTTTGGTCTCTTGCTTTCCTAAGTCCTTGGAATTAAAGAAGCCAAAATACATAAACATCTGACTTGCAGTGGCCATGAGACTTTGCCTGACTTGACCTGGAGCTCTGTCTTCATTGGGACACTACGACTTCAAAGCATTTAGGACGTGAGGCAAAGAAAGTTTCTTGCGCAAAGGAATTTCTCTTTGTGGGAACTGGAACATTGTTCCACTAGGGGCGGAAACAGAGTTTTCCACACGAAAATAGGATATTCCTTTGAATGGCTTTCCCATCTTTCCTTGTTCCTTCCTCCCACCTCAGCCGTGCAGGAAAGAAACTGGAAGCAGAGACAATGGGACAGTTCTATTGCTATCCATGCTGCTGAAACAACAAAGAAAAATGGTCATTATAGGAAGCCAAGGTGTGCCTGACATTTGTACCTTGTTATTGTTATGCGCCATTGAATCAGAACTGACTTATAGTTGACCCTTCAGTAGGTTTTCAGAGACAGCAAGTCACACAGGAGGAAATTGTCCATCTTTCTCCTGGGGAGCACCTGGTGAATTCAAAACGCATTTCCCACTTTCTTAATTCACATTTTTTTTTCATACATACAATCATTCTCACGCATTATATTTTATAAAATTAATCACCATTGGACTGTGCCCACCATTACCCCATGTTTTCAAGTCCTCACCAGACCTTTCCCACTCCTTCTACCCACCAAATTATGCAACCCTGTGATTTCATCCCTGCCTATCCTCACCACTCTGCTCCTACCCTTCCCACTTTGGATCTCATTTGTGTTTTACTAGTTATCCTTCTTTTTATAATAATGGTCTTATGCAGTATTTGTCCTTATGAGACTGAGTTCACTCAGAATAATACTCCCAACTTTATATAATAAAGTTCCTTCCAAGTTACGTAGTATTTTTCTAAATCATTGCTCCTGCCTCATAGGGTTTTTAAAGGGTGAAATCTTTATGGGAGCAGATTGGCAGATCTTTTTCCTTTGGAGTCACTGGGTGGATTTGAACTGTCAATCTGTCAGCAGCTAAATGCTTAACCACTGCACTACCAGGGCTCCTCCAGTGACTGATAAAGACAACAGGAGGGGATAGTGCTTGGAAAGGGATACCATGCTGGGAAAGAGGTGGGGCAGAGAAAAAGAGGAAGACCCTTAGCAAGACAGACTGATACAGTGACTGTAGCTGAGATTGGGAGGGGATGACCTCAGACAGGACAAGGTTCAGATCTCTTGTTCAGAGAATCACTATGAATCTTATTCCACTTAATTGCACCTAACAATAGCAACAACAATATGGTATATGTCCCAGGAAAAATGGTTTTTGTAAGAGACTCGAAGAATGGTGTCTCTAAATACAGAAATTTAGCCACAACCAGTGGGTTGGTGGGAGAGATCCTTCCATGACAAAAGGCTTCTGGGGGCCCTAGGATCACTGCTCAGAGGTCACTTCTGCATGTGATGCTGCCCCTACATGTGGGAGGGAGTTACTGACCTGTGGCCTCTTTGGTTTCAGCATGGAAGAATCCTGCACTACAGCGACCCATTCGTCCTCTTCCTGTTTTTGCTGGCCTTCTCCACCGCCACAATCATGCAGTGCTTCCTGCTCAGCACCTTCTTCTCAAGGGCCAGCCTGGCGGCAGCCTGCAGTGGAGTCATTTATTTCACTCTCTACCTGCCACACATTCTCTGCTTCGCCTGGCAGGACCGGATGTCCGCTCAGCTCAAGATGGCTGCGGTGAGGGTTGCCCTGGCATGTGATGCTTTTTTGTCTGATAGGCCCATTCTATAGGGCTGGCCACTCTCTGAGGAGGCACACTTTGCCTCCTGATATGAGGACAAAGAATTAAAAGTCACAGGAGCAGAAACAGAGAGAAAGACCTTCACCTGGAGGGGCCTAACAGCCCTCACCCAACTTGACTGATGAATCTGTCCTAGATCGTAATTGAAACATCAGTTCAGGTCACGTGTCCTTTTGCTTATCCACTGATGACCAAAAGGGCATGGCATTCTCTTTTCCAAAGGTTTGCCAAAAATGAGACTGTTCTGTCCTGAAAGATGTCTCCATGAATTAAGTATGGTTTCTTGGACTAGGGTAACTCTGTAAGTGTCTTTAAAACGTTTAGCCAGTGTAGGCAGAAAAGGAAAGGAAGATGACCCAGTCAGCACAGGACCAGACCACAGAAGAGGACTCTGGGGCTTGGCTTGTGGTTGCTGAAAACTCTGTTAGTTCACAGTTCCTAAGCCAATAGCACCGTCTTCTCTCTAATTATTTTCAAATGAGTCATGACCACCCTCTCATTGACACCTGCTAAACAGCCTCCAGATCAGTTGTTGTTGAGTTCATTCCAACTCATGGCAGACCCACGTATGTCAGGGTAGACTGTGCTCCACAAAATTTTCAATGACTGACTTTTCAAAAGTAGATTGTATTGCCTAAGGACTCCCCAATCCCCTATTTGTCTTCAAGAACCTCCCTTTCTTTCTCTGCTGTTGTGTGCCTTTGAGTTGGAAACAACCCATAGGTGACCCTCCAGTGGGTTTTCAGAGGCAGTTAATTGTATAGAAGAAGATTGCCCACCTTCTCCTGTAGAGCTGCTGGAAGATTTGAACCACATGCCTTGGGGATTGCAGAATAGTTTCTAGCCACTAAGCCATCAGAGCTCCCTCCTTCCTCTCTGTTGTGTTGTTGTTATGTGCCACTGTCACCTGTGACTCATAGTGACCCTATATGTACACTAGCTCTGAATCTTACCCTATCCTGAGCCAATCTCCTCATCTCCAAAAGACCTAATCCCATTTTTCCAGTCACTGAGTAAATTCATCTCATTCTGGGTCTTCTCCTGTGCTTTCCCTCCACCCTTCCAAGCATGATGTTAATTTCTAAGAACTGGTTCCTCTTGGCCACATGCCCAAAATAGGTGAGATAGAGCTTCAAAATTCTTGCCTCCAGGGAGCAGTTTAGTTTCATCATCTCTAGGACAGACCTGTTTGTTCTCCTGGCAGTCCAATGTATGTTCAATATTCTTCTCCAGCACTACAACTCAAAGGCATCAATTCTTATTCTATCATCCTTAGTCATTGTCCAGTTCTCTGATGTATAGCAAGTAATTGTGAAGAGCATGGCTTGATTCAGATGCACCTTAGTTTCCAGACTGAGATCATTGCTCTAGATAGGTCCCTGACAGGAGACTTTTTCCTGATGCAGTTCGGCTTTTGATTTCCTAACAACTAGTACCAAGGGTATAATTAATTGTGGAACCAAGCAAGCTGAAGCTGAATCTTCATCTCTTTTCTGTCTGTCATGAAGCTGCCAATTGATCCAGTGGTGAGAATCTGTTTTCTTGACGTTGAACTTCAATCCATACTGAAGAGAACAGTCCTGGACCTTCTGCAGCAAATGCCTCGTATCTTCCTCAGTTTCAGCAAGCAAAGTTATGTCATCTGCATAACGTATAACGCAGGTTGTTGATCAGTCTCCCTCCAGTCCTGATGCCACATTCCTCCTCATTTACACATCCCTCTCTGCTCAGTGGAATCAAGAAAGGGCTGCCATATGCCTGTGGTTAAGGAAAGATCTAGGTCTAACATGCTGTCATGACTCAAATGTACTTGACTCCAGAATTGCCAAGGTGTTTGCATTTTTTTCCCATCTGTTAAATAAGAAAATAATAACTGCCATTTGTAGTGCCCAATTTTATAAAATAATCACAGTGAGCTGGCCAGTAAGAAATCCTATGGTTCAGCCTCGGAGCAGAGCTGGGCTATCGGAACAATTTTGGTAATCACCAGGGAGAAAGTCAATAGGTCCTTAGAGGCTACAGCCAGCTCCATGAGTGAGTGGGTGTAACAAAAACAACTGTGTGAACCTGGACTAGGCTGACATAATATTTTTAAAAGTTTTCATTAAGGGAGCTCTGGTGGCTTAGTGGCAAGAAGCTGCACTGTAATCCCAGAGGTGCGCGGTTCAAATCCACCAGATGCTCTGCTGGAGAAGGAGGGACAATCTCCTCCTATACCAGTCAGATCCAGTTTGATGATACACACACACAAAATAATAATAAAATTTTTAAAAATTACATTTGCATTAGAATAAAGGTAGAGAATCCCTTTTTGCTGCAGAGGAGCATTCTGAACATCTTCATGACTCTACCAAACTACAGAGAAACCTCTGAGCAGAGGAAATGTACACAGCAAATCTCTGCATTTAGTGATTTCTGCCAAGTCAGTGGCCACATATGGGAACTTGGCTGATGAAGTTGTGCTTCAGATCCCTTTCTGTACCACATCTATTCCATTTGCTTGTTTTCGGCACAGAAAATGACTATCCCTCATCTTGAGATAGGGAACTCTGGTGACATAGTCCATAGGGAATTGCACTGTTAACCCAAACATGGCACCATCGTTGACGTTATAATCTACCAGTGACTCTATGGGAGAAAGATGATGGCCTCTGATTTACAGCCTCTGAAAACTCACTGGAGGGTCAACTGTGCATCAGTTCTAACTCAACAGCAATGACTTTTTTGAAGAGTCTTGAGGTAGGGCAGGGTGGTAGACAATGCAAAGTGAGGCCTTTCCAACTTCTGTTACAGATACCAGGTTCAGGAGCGGTGGTAGGGGGAGTCTTGGGGTGATCCCTTCCTAATCTCCTGGCCTGTCCTAGAAAATTGATGACCTTCATGAACTTTTCAAATGGAATTTCCCGAAGCATCTCATGTCAGCATCTTTGTTCTGCCAAGAATGTGGGATCTTAAGAAAGAGTCATGATGGAGGGAAAAGAGGGAGGAAGGCGAGAACACAAGGGGCTGTTTCCCATGGGTGTGTTGTGCTGGGTGGCGTTTCTGTGTCTTCCTCATTACACTCTAGCTCAACTATGTTCCACTGAAGAAGTGAGAGGTGGCCAGGTAGGTATTGGGTAGGGTCCCTGAGACCTGAAAGATGTTTCCAGAATTCTCTTTCTTTAGGAAACTCTCTCAACCTCTCCCTGTGGTGAGTGGGCTTACACTCAGGTACAGCATGGACCCTCTTTTGCCTCTTCACCCTATCTTGTAAGCTTCTAGAAGCTGCTATGTTGAGTGAAAAACCCTCTGCTCAGCTCTCAGAAGCCTTGTGTCCCACTGCAGAGCCTGCTATCTCCTGTGGCCTTTGGGTTTGGCACCGAGTACCTGGTTCGCTTTGAAGAGCAAGGCCTGGGGCTTCAGTGGAGCAACATTGGTAACAGTCCTATGGAAGGTGATGAGTTCAGTTTCCTGCTATCCATGAAGATGATGCTCTTTGATGCTGCTCTGTATGGCATATTTGCCTGGTACCTTGACCAGGTGTTTCCAGGTGAGCCTCTCCCCCAGACAATTGGGTCCTACAGATCCTTAGGCCAATTCCAATTGCCCTAGTCCATCCTCATTCTAATTAAAATTTCTAAGTACTTTGAATTTGTATTCTCAGAACCACATTTGAAAGTTAAAAAAAATCCATCCGCAAATCCCATTGGCTCTACTCCAGACTTTCATCCAGAATCCAGTCTCTTGTTAGCACTTGCGCCACTGTCTCCACAGCCCAAGACTCTTGTTTTTCACTGTCCATTCAGAGATAGATTCTTTATAAATCTAATTCTGCTCATGTCAGCTCCTGTTCAAATCCCTCCAATTAACTTTTTATCTGGTCATAGTAAAATTCAAGGTCTTAACCCTGGTTTTTGACATGCACAAGAGCTCACCTCCGACTGTTTTCCTCACCTCATGTCCTTCTCCCTGATGTTTCCGTGTTCCAGCTGCATCAGCCTCTTTACTGTCCTTCAGCGCACCAAGTACATTTCCTCTTCATGGTCTCTCCATTGGCTGTCCTCACTGGCAGAGGGACTCCTGCCCCCTCCAAACTACAGACTTGTTTCCTGTTCAGATGTCACCTTATCACTGGGCTTTTTCCTGACTAGAAATATCTAAATCTCTATCCTTGTATAAATAGCATCCCTTCAGTGCTCCTATCCCCTTACCCAACTCCATTTTGTTAAATACTTATGACCATCACAGATTTTGTCCTTATGTTTATTTATTGATGGTCTCCCTCAAGAGAACATGAGCTATACACTTGGTTGTTTCATCCTCTGCTATATGCCCATTACCTGGAATGTTGTTATATGTGGTGTTGTTATATGCTGTTGAGTTGGAAACTCATTGTTGTGTTTTTAGACAACTCTTAGTGTGTTTTTAGAGATTTTAAATCGTAGGAGAGGAGGATGCCCAACTTTCTCCCACAAAGCAGCCCGTAGATTGAAACTACCAGCCTCTGAGTTGACAGCACAACTTACCACTAGGCCATAAGAGCTCCCTACTGCCTAAAATGGTGTCTGATATTTGGTTGTCATTAAGTAAGTGTTTAATTAATCATAGCCAAGAAATTCCTATGAAGCATTTCTACTATGTAACAAATGAGGTCATCATAAATTAGAATCATATCAACAGTAATTAACAACAACAACATGATATAACATGGAAAGCTAAATCATGGATCAAAATTGCACACTTTTATAGAATTCTTGCAGAAAATTATATTTCTCTTCAAATTAGCATTCCTGGAAGCAAAGATCTCTCCAACTTGCATATTCTCCAAATCAACCATTATGTGTTCAGGCTGTAATGGGCTGCTTTCCATCTTATGGCCAGAAGCAGGGAGGGGAATAGGAGGCTGGGCCTGGACTTTGAGAAAGGGTGAATTCAAGACATCATCTTAACAATCTCAGAGTAGGAGGAAGAATGTTGGACTGATATTCAGAAGGCATAGATGGAGATCTTCTCCATGTAACAACCTTGAGCAATACACATGACCATTATCAAATTTTGTTTCTTCTTTCTCACTGAGTCATTGAGGGGAGAGAAATTAAATTAATATTTCTATTTATGCCTTTCTCTAGAGATTTCTTTTAGCCAAAAGCTTTAACTTGTTCAGCAGCCATTCATGTGGTATCACTTCATGTTGAGGACTCAGCAGAGGCAGGTTCTGGGAATAGAGGGGTAGACAAGCTGTCCTAGGCCTGCTCTTAAGGAGCCTATGATCAATCAGGAGAGAGAACCATTAAACACATAATTCTCTTTTAAACAAATAAAGATGTTTATGGCTTAAGTGTTCCCACAAAATCAACATTTTTCACATCAAGGGAGCTGAACTATAAACTTTGAGTTTTGCTCCTGAAACTCAGGTGGAACCAGCAGAGTGGAATGTTTAAGAAAAGTAATATTGGAACCTGATTACCCAAGTTCAAATTCCTACACCTCTATTCAATTAGCTCTGAACTTGAGCAGATTATCCAGCCTCTGTGTATCTCAGTCTCCTTATCTGTAAAATAGTAAGAGTACTACTTATCTCCTAAACTTGTTTTGAGGATTTGATCATTTAATGTAAGAGAAGTGCTTATAGCAATGATTGACATAGAGAGAGGACACAAAGAATGTTAATGATTGTCAACTTGTTTTGAGGATTTGATTATTTAATGTAAGAAAAGTGCTTGTAGCAATGATTGACATAGAGAAGGGACACAAAGAATGTTAATGATTGTCATTATTTTTTTTATTATTATTTTTATTTTATTATTTGTGTGTACCGTCAAATCAGATCTGACTGATACAGGAGGGGATTGTCCCTCCTTCCCCTGCAGAGCATCTGGTGGATTCGAACCGTGCGTCTTTGGGATTGCAGTGCAGCTTCTTGCCACTAGGCCACCAGAGCTCCCCCGATTGTCATTATTAATAGTGTTATCTGGCAACTCTGATGGCTTAGTGATAAGGAGTTTTGCTACCCACTCTTAGGCAGACAATTTGAATCCACTAGCTGCTCTGAGGGATAAAGATGAGCAGACTCCTCTCATGTGATCTACAGCCTCTGAGGGATGAGCTGTGAGGTCATTACAACTAAATGACATGTAACAACAACATTAGAAAGGCACATAATTTAATTCTTTAATAAGACTTTATTTATTTATTAAAAAATTGTCATCTAAGATTATTATTAGTGTTAGACCAACATAGAAGCTTTGTGCTGAGGCCTCTTCTTAGCCCTTGAAAGCTCCACCTTGAAACTGAAGAAGCCACCTGGGTGTCTACACTATGAGCAGTGATGACATACGCCTTTGAGGTTGTGCCTTACTTCCTCATCACTGGGGGAATAATTTATGATGTTATTTCAGAACCTCCAGATGTTGACAGGTGAACATGGACATCAGAGCCCAGTAGTTTTCTTTGTCTGAAGAGTAATATAGATAATGTACTATGGAAAGACTTGTGCCCAGCCTCCTGGGAGGTTTAGATCTCATAATGTTAGCATGATCTAATGCACCAGACATTCTCAAACCCAGTAGGTTTTGTTTTCTGTACATTGGATTTGTCTATGTCCTACTGAGTCTCTACAGCTAGAATATTCATGGAAATGAAACTGCTGGCCAGCTGATGGGTTAGAGTACCCTTTGAGAGGAAATCCTTGGATCCTGGATTTGCTCCTGTTAATGAAGTTATAAAGGCTGCACCAATCCTTAAATATGCAGTGTGAAAAGGATAGGAAAACAGCAGTTAAAGAAGAATCTAGTGAAAACATATTGTTGTTGTGTACCATCAAGTTGGACCTAACCATAGCTGACCCTCCAGTGGATTTTCAGAGGCAGTTAATCACACAGGAGGAGATTGCCCATTTTTCTCCTCTGGAGTAGCTGGTGGATTTGAATCACATATTTTTGGGTTATTAGCACAACTCCTTACTACTAGGCCAACAGAACAGGCTGTTGTTGTTATGTCCCGTTGAGTTGCTTGCGACTCATAGCGACCCGATGTACAACAGCTCTGAATCCTGCTCTATTCTGAGCCAACCTTATCGTCTCTGACAACCCGACCCCATTACCCCCCTCACTGAGTCAATCCATCTCATCAAAGGGTCTTCCTCTCTTGTGCTGTCCCTCCACCCTACCAAGCCTGATGTCCCTCTCCAAGGTCTGGTCCCTCCTTGCAACATGTCCAAAGTATGTCAGAGGGAGCTTCAAAATCCTTGCCTCCAAGGAGCAACCTGGTTTCACCCTCTCCAGGATAAACTTGTTTGTTCTCCTAGCAGTCCATGGTTTATTCAATACTCTTCTCCAGCAACACAACTCAAGGGCATCATTTCTCCTTTTATCATCTCTAATCATTGTCCAGCTTTCTGATGCATAGCAAATAGTTGCAAAGAATATGGCCTAGGTCAGGTGTACCTCAGTCTCTGGACTGAAATCGTTTCTCTTTAGTTGCTGGAGAGGTTCCTGACAGCAGACTTTCCCAATACAATTTGTCTTTTGATTTCCTGACTACTGGTACCAACAGTGTTAATTGTGGAACCAAGCAAACTAAAGCTGTTATCAATCTCAATCTCTTCACCATCTATCATGATGCTTCCATTTGACCCAGTGGTGAGACTCTTTGGTTTCTTGATGTTGAGCTTCAATCAATATTGAAGGCTGAAATCTTTGACTTTCTGCAGCAAGTACTTCAGGTCCTCCTTAATTTCAGCAAGCATAGTTGTGTCATCTGCACAATGCAAGTAGTTAATAATCTTGCTCCAGTGCGGATGCCACATTCCTCCTCATACTGCCCAAGCTCTCAGATGATCTGTTCTGCATATAGATGGAAAAGGTATGGAGACAGGACACATCCCTGGTGTACACCCTTCCCAATTTTGAACCATTCAGTGTTTCTTTGCTCTGTTCTAACAAGTACAGGTTTTGCATGAACACCATCAATTATTCTGGAATTCCCATTATTCTCAGAGTCAACCACAGTTAGTTGTGATCCACACAGTCAAAGGCCTTTGCATAGACAATGAAATACAGATAGACATTCCTCTGATACTATCTGCTTTCAGCCCAAAACCATCTAGCATTATATATAATATCCCTAGTACCACGGCCTCTTCTAAACCCAGCCTGCACATGTATCTTTCATTTGCTCCCTTCTGTAAAATGCTTGTTTGTCAGATGCTGTTCTAATTAAAACAGACTAGAAAGAAGTATTTCCCATCCACTTATGAAATAACAGGCCTTCGAAAACCTTATGTACAGTAGACCACACTTAGACTAGCAGACATGGCAACAGAGGCTGAGCTCTCAAATATGGAAACACAAAAGAGGAGGAACAGTTGGAAGCAGACACTAGTGATTGGAATGTAGAATGTGAGAATTGTGAATGTAGGAAAACTGGACATTGTTAAGAAAGAAATGGAACACATAAATATTGACATACTAGGTATTGTCAAAATGAGATGGATTGCCTGTGACATTTGAATCAGACAATTATAATGATCTTCTATGCTGGGAATGAAAAGGTGAGGAAAAATGGGGTTACTTCAATAGTTAAAAAAAGTCATTTTTAGATCCACCTAGAGCCAAAAAGGAGGAAATAGAGGATTTCTACCAACTTTTACAGTTAGAAATCAATTGAACATGCAATCAAGAAACATTAATAACGGAGCTCTGATGGCGTAGTAGCAACAAGCTGCCCTGCAATCTCAGAGGTATGCGGTTTGAATCCACCCGATGCTCTGCTGATGAAGGAGGGGCAGTCTCCTCCTGTGCTAGTCAGATCCAATTTGACAGTACAAACACACAAAAATAATAAAATAAAATTAAAGACAATTTTAAAGAGAAGCATTA